ATTTGATGTGTCACAGAAAATCTCCAGTGGCGTATCGGATACCGAATGCGCAGGGTGTGCGGCGGTTGCCAAGCCATCCCTGGTAGCGTCAAAAGCGGCTTTCGTAAAGTCCAAAGGGAGCCGCGATGGCTGTTTTTCAGATGTCCGCTTTGGCGACCGGGATTTGGTGATATGTTTTTACCAAATCGATTGTTGAAAACACGGTGCTTCTCGTCAACGTTTGTCAGAAATCGTGTTCCTTGGGGCCATATGGAGGGGAGACGACCAACAGCTCTGGGATGGTCTGACGATCCCTAACTTAAGCATAGCGTCTAACTTCAGCTTCGCTACCCGTAGGCGGTCTAGGGTTTGTGAGCCACGGGTGGTCCAGGAGTCGTCTGGATGTGGTGTTCCGTCCGATGCTTTACGGTCCCGGTTCCATCCGGAAAGTTTGTTAGAAGGTCTAAATATGGTGACGATCCAGTTACGATTTTGACTGAAGATAGCCTTTCGCTCTACCTTCGCCTACCAGTATTAGTGGCTGATAGGAATGAAACACCCAAAATTGTTCCCCTTCCAGCAACTATACAAGAACTTCTTCCCGCATCATTACCCAATAATGCTCAGAATCTAAAAGGTATTAATTTTCCTGTAGTTTTTGAACTAATTTCTCTTTTTACAAAACTAAACAACTTGTACGGAACTGGAAACGTATTTGCTAGTGTTCAACATATTGTACAATAAAACACTTTTCTGACTTACTTTCATCGCAGATGAGTATATGGTACTCCCGACCACATGCCACGCAAGTCATCAGTATTTCTAGAAATTGCAAAATATTTCAGATCATTGCAACGATTGCAATCACGCACTAAAGATGACCTCTTTAAAAAAATTAAATGCAGATGTTTAAAGTAATACTATATATCCTGAAAATATTTTAAAATTTGAAGACTTTACAAAACCAATTGATTTGTCTTTTGTTACTTATGTGAACTTCTGGTACATCTTAAACCCGATTATTACATATGTCTTCCCGAGAAGTGAGAAGATCCTTTGTAAGTTTGGTAAATAATTGTGTTCGAACCATTTTAATTATTTGTTTTGTTTTTGGTATAGAATAACTCCAAAAATTAACACAGTACATTTGGTGACTTTATTTTTAAATAGAGAAACATTTCGTACGTACAGTAAACCATGCGTTATGGCAACATGACCAGACAAGAAAGTGAAATTGATATTGGACGGTCATCCTGTTACCCCCCCCCCCCCCCACTGTATGAATTCGATAAAGTAGTCCTCTTTCATGTAGCGGCATATATAAACGATATAAAATAAAATATATATATATAAATTCCGGACGAATTCATAGGAAAGGCGGAGCACGAAGCTACCACAACCTCTGACTTTATCCAGAAAATTTGTGCGGCATGACGGGCAAAAAGGACTACTTCAGCAGTGGTATGATCTTTGCCAGTAATGCTGGAACATGTGCTGCAATCTCTGCCACTGAGTTAAACGGTTAACCAGTAAAGTTGTAATATCTAACTGAGGACCGGCAGTTAATGACTAGTTAAGGATAAAGTGACCTGGGGTAAGGGCTATAAGATCTTTACGTTTAGGGAAAGAGGTACCAAAAGTCGAGAGTTGAGAACAGACTCGGCTTAAACCACAACAGAGTATAGCTCTTCACGTGTTAATTTTGCATTACCTAATATCCTCTTAAGATGAAATTCCGTGGACATTATTGCTGCCTTATACAATCCTCCAAAATGAGGCGATGAGGCGATTGGGCACGTGAAAAATGCCACCTATAAAGGGATTTAACGTTGATAATTTACTGGAAGGTGAAACAGATTTCCCAGCAGATAAAATTTTAATTTCGTTGTGAAATTCCTGTAAACCGTACTACTTTGTACTAGTACTACTAAAGCGTTGCCTAGTTCGGGTATCGTTAAAAAATTTGAATTCCTGACTTCTTTATGAAGGCAGTTACGCGAATCGAAGGCAATAAGCGACAATTCGTTGTAGTTTTAAAAATGACGAAAATTCGTTTTTAGCACCCTTTGAAGTTAGTAAGGAGAAGGTATTTTTGCCCTTTTCAGGAGCATTAGTCAGCTGAAGCTTGATATTAATTTCTGGTCATGAATTTACATCCTGCATGAAAAACGATGGACCTGACCATCACAAAGCACAATTTAAAATTTGTTCTGTGTCTAAACTTCTAGATATGACATCGGCAGGATTATCTTCACTATTGACAACGACGCGTTCATATGAGTTAAATGTTGTGCTTGGGATACGCGATTAGTGACAAAAACTTGCCAGTTGGTGGCTTCAGAACACGACCAGTGTAATACAATGCTGGAATCACACCAAAAAGGGTAACAATTCAAATAGACGTCCCAAGAATCAAGCAGCTAATGCAACGGAAAATGTAAATCACTATCAAATGAACGTTGGATTTTATATAGTGGTTATGCTAGTCACTTCTCTAATGACCGAGAAAATTTGAGATTCGGAGAGAATCTACATGTGGAACTCTACATTAAGCCAGTAATTCATCCACAGATGTTCAAGGATCTGGCAACGTTAAGATTTCTATGAATCGTGAAGGGTACCCAATAGTGGTCGAATTGAAAGACACGTTATTCGTTCCTGATTTAAGTTAAAACTTAGTATCAGTTGCAAAAATTACTGATAGCGGTCATACTGTAACTTTTACCAAAGATTCAGCAACAATAATGGATCAAGAAAGTAGAGTAAGACTCAGTGCAATTAGAAACAATAATCTCTACTTCCTTTCACAAAGTACCCAGTTTATCAAGGAATCTGCTCATGTCAGCCAAGATGATCTACGGGAATGGCATGAGAAGCTAGGCCAATTAAATTTCAAGGATGTGGTCAAAATTATTAAAGATACCATGAGTCTAGATGCTGGTAAAATTGAAGTACTTGAATGTGATGTGTGCATTAAAGGAAAAATGACTAGTTTACCTTACACGATGAGAAAATCACCGTTCAGTGAGCTGTTCAGGATTGTGCATTTAGATGTTGTGGGGAAAACTCGAGTGTAATCCTTGAATAAGGCTAAATATTTTGCCTCATTCATAGATGATGCCTCTAGATGGTAAGAAATATACCTTCTAGGCAGAAAGAATAAAGTAATATCAGCATTCGAGCAATATAAGAATCATCTGGAGAATCAGACTGGAAAAAGTATAAAATGTCTCCAGTCAGACAACGGCAAGGAATACTGTAGCACTGAATTTAATAGGCTACTAAAAGACATGGTATTCAACGTCGACTTACAGTTCCACATACTCCACAACGAAATGGAGAGCGTTTTAATAGCACCATTATTGAGATGGCAAGATGTCTGTTACTTCAATCTCAACTTCCACAAACCATTTGGACTGAAGCTGTTGCTACAGCTTGTTATATTCGTAACAGATCATCTACGTCTGCTGTTGGTGGAATGAGAGAAACTTGACTTATCCCACTTGCGTATTTTTGAATCTCTAGTTTATGTTTTAGACAAACTTCCAACAAAAAATAAATTTGCTCCGAGATCAATAGACTATCACTGTAGCGAGATTACAAACTCTACGTATGCTAATGGTTATCTCAGCTAGTTGTGGCCTACAGATGCACCAAATTGACATTGTGACTGCCTATCTAAATGCCATACTTGATGAAGATGTTATAATGGAGATGTCTGACATGCTAGAAGAGATGTTGAATAAAATTATCTACAATGATAACGTAAGACCAGTAGATTATTGAAAACTATAAAAGCCGGTGATGATGCTTGTAAACTTAGAAAGGCATTATATGGACTTCGTCAAGGTGGAAGACAGTGGAACGAAAAAATTGATGAAAGGTTGAAGAATCTAGGTTTAACTCCAACCGTTGGTGAGCCCTGTCTATACCATGCTCATCGTAACAATGATGCTCTGTTCCTGTTATTATATGTGAATGACATCCTTATTGCATCTAGAAATAGAAACTGGATAAAAGAAGTTAAAACAGGGCTTGCAGCCTAATTTAAAATTAAACATCTAGGATTAGCAAAGCGTTGTTTAGGACTAGAAAGCGACTATGTTTGTATTTTGAGATGTTCTAACCATTCAGGTAGTTTGACCATCCGAACTCCCAAGAATTTATAGTACTAGTAAGTTAATGTTTTCTGCCGCCGAATTTACTTCTTAAAAACGCTTTTTATTATTTAGGTCAAAATTCGACCGGCTAAGAAAAACATGAGCTGTTTCCCCGTTCAAGGAAAAAACAATAATACACTATGTGCGTTAACTATAACTCAATCAAGTTGTTAACAGGTTAACAGTGGAACAACAACTGATTTAAAATAATTACAACTATTAACATTACAATTCTTATTTAATTCCTTAGTAAGCTAATTAGTATCTGAACAATGCAATTCCCTGATAAGATTAATATTCTTCAACTTAAGTAACGCAGCTATATCCTGTAGATAACAGAAGCAGCAAACTGTTGCTTTATCGACAACAGAGGCTAAGTACATTAGACTACTATCTGAAGCTCTCAAAGAAGCTATACATTTGAGAAGCTTATTGATAGAGATTGGTCAGAAGAAACTCAGTAAGATAACAGTTTTCACTGACAATAGAGGTGCTGAATGCATAGCCAACAACTCAGTGTTTCATAAACGAACGAAACACATCGATATTAAGTTTCACTTCATTAGAGGGACTGCCAAAGATGTGTTGGTGAATGTGCAGCACATACCCACAGAGGAAATGGTGGCGGATATTTTAAGGAAGCCCTCGGCTTGTGTAAATCATGAAAATTGGATTCATAAACTAGGACTGAGAAGACTGACAGATTCAAGTGACGTACGATTTGAGAGGGAAGTGTTAGATTCAAATCACGCTAATTGCATTGATTAATTATTTTTGTTGATATTATAGATCACAGTGTGTGTAATCTTTATAAATAAATAGTTTGTCTTGTCAATTATAAATCAAATAAATTCACTCATGTTTAGTTTAAATATTTCTTATTTGTAATAAAATCCTTCCTCTGGAAGAAATATCTTAACAATAAGTATCTTTTTTTACAGTGATGCAGTATCTCTAATGTACTGACGAATGTCTGTGACGTTAGTGTAGACACCGGGACTTCCTCTCCGCCCACATCCACGACCCCACGATACGATACCGATGAGAGTGTTATTGGCAACCATGGGTCCTCCAGAATCACCCTAAAATTTAAGAGACATTCAAAAATAAAATTTGTTCTTCACTGTCGATCAAATCAAGACCATGTCTAGAATGATTGTCTTTTAACAATACGTAAACTCTTAATACTATTTAGTGTGCATGTTTCAAAACCATCTAATACTCCTCCATCTTAGCGTATCTCATGTAAGGAATTTAAGTGTTTGCATAAACGAAAATAATGAAAGGTATGTTAAAATGAAATGATAGATTTACTAATAATAAAATTGGTCAGCTAAAATTAATTATTGATGAAGAAAGAATTAATTAGGTGGCATCACTGGATTAGAACAATATGAGTCCCGACTATAAACTAAACGGAATGGGAGCAGTTGTCTTTTTCAATCCCTATTTCAAATAATACTGAAAAATATTAACACATTAACACAATGCCGCGGTCGAATTCTAATTGCAGACGTTTCGCCATGCCTAATAGGTGGCATCTTCAGTGCTTCACGGTGTATGATTGACGGTTGGATGGTTAATGTGGGATTTTAGGGTCTCGGTCACGGTTGGCTCGTACTCACTCATACTATATAAATATTACCAAAAAGAGGTTAGAAAACGAAGAAGAAGAACAAACAACTAACACTTAGAAAAAAATTCAAATTGCAGTAGAAACAAGCTATTCGTATATTCCATTGCAAGGGGAAGAAACGTCTTCAAGAGGAGAACACGGGAGTAAGAAAAAGAACATAAATTTGTCACCTATAGTAATTAGCGTAAAAGTGAAAAACTACGCAGAGTTGATAAAACACATTAAAACAATAGATATAAAACAGGGACTCCACTTAAACTACAGCAACGAATCGATTAGTGTTTTTATCCACGATAAAGCAGCAAGGAAGAATTCCAAAGTGTGACAAAACAAGAAGGGATTCCATTCTACATGTATTCCGAAAAAGAAGAAAAACACGACTCATTTGTGCTTAAATGACTTGATTCACGGCCGGAATGTGATTTGGTTCTAAGTGCATTAAGAAACGAGTACAAAGTCAACGCAATTAACTGCTAAAGTTCCTAAAACAGAAATAGGAACAATAGGAACAAAATCATCCGGTGTCATCGCTGCCAATGTTGGGAACATGCAACAAACGATTTTAACTTTACACTAAAATGTATGAAATGTGCCAAAGAACACTTTATTAAGGAGTATAATCTAAGTGATAGTATAAAGGTGAAGTCAGTAAACTGCAACAATGAACACGCGACCAACAGCATTGAGTGCCCTGTATACAACACATCGAAGAACAGAAGCAGAAACTTAAGCAGGTGAATACAAATTAAATACGATAAGCAGAAGCAGCCCAGAAAAATGCAATAACTTCGTTCATACTGGAAAGACCAACGTCATCGGAAAAAAAAGAAAAACATCAACATTCGGCGGTTACTAAAAAAGATCGCGCAACTGCTACAACTACAAGGTACAGAACTAACAGACCATTTAGAATTAGCAAATGAACATAGTAAATTAAATAGGATCAATATTAAAGAAACACTTAAAATTATTAAAGAAGTAAACAATAAAATGTCACAGAATGTAAACGAGAAAAAAATGCAAACATTTATATATTTTACGTTAAACATAGAATCCTTAAAATCGCATGATGGAACGCTAACGGTTTAAATGCAAAATGAAACAAAACCTAGCAAAGACCATATTGTCAAAAACAAAGGGTATAAAATAAAAAGACGCGATTGGTACTGGAAACGCGGGCGGAGTCTTAGTTTTTATCAAAAACAACATCCCCGTTGTAGATGTACTCATTAGGAGAAATAGCATAGAAGCGATATGCCTCAAATTGGCTAACAACGTACACATAGCAGGAACATATTTCGATATAATATGAGGTGCTCTGATAGCAGAGCCATGTTACTTACGGAACAGGAATCCTTGCCACCTTCGTCGTAACCAGCACACAGCATTCTTTCGGTAAGGTACTCTTCGGTAAGGTTAAGCATACTTCTGCATCTGTCTTGTGCGATAACTGGAACAGAAACTGCTTGAAGTACATCAGTATAAGTGTCATTAACATTTTCTGACTGCAATCCCCATCCTACAAGCGTGGCATTGGTTCCTGGTGCTATTTGTTGATTTTCATTAATTAGTCGAATACTCCGAATTGTATCACTGAAGGTCAAATTTTGTAACAATTTAATCAAACCGACATCATAGTCGGGACCTCCGTCAGTCGTGTTAGGAGGCTCAGAGTATTGAGGATGGATGAAGAGTTCTTCAGCTTGTATTAGAACACCATCACCGAATGTACGTTCAGCACCAGCAAGAACCGTTACATTGATTACATTTGCGCTTTGAAAGAAGAGCAGATAATTAATTACGAAGGTAAACTAATAAACAATAAAATTAAAGTTAAAACACATAGATTTCGTAACGGTGGCTTCTTCAGATGTTTTGAATTTACATGGTCAATATATTAGGAATTACAAGTGTTTTAATTTTAAGTCTAAGAATTTCCATAAAATAGAAGAAGATTTATTGAATAATAATAAAAATACGTAATTTATATATCTTAAATAAGTTTTTGTGAGTATTTTGTACTTATAATGGGGATTAATATAGGTATGTGTAATACTCTTATGTTAACAATTGACCAACTTGCGGCGCAATTCACTCATACTTACTCAACTAAACAGTGACCCGCCGTAAGTATCCATGCGTTGGACAATATTGATCCACCGCAAAAGGCATCACCCGTATTAATTTGCACTGCATAGGGATAATCGTTTATTGATGCGTTAGACCCTCCAACAATCCTACCGGAATCAGATGAATCGTATTCCTCAAATTGGGCATTCCAAGGAAATGCTAATAAAGGAAAATTATATTTTTACATTTCAGAAACCAAAATAAATTAATTGTTTACGAAGTGTTAACTGTATGTAGGCGTAAAGACAATTCAAGTTTTAGTACTCGATCTTACTGAACAATTACTAATATGATCGGTTTTTTTACCACCACATTCATACTTACTGCAGATTGCAGTGATTTTAATTCTATTAATTTTTAATTCGTTTCTATGGTTAAATATTGATTGACACAAAGACATGCTTTCGTGGAGACCAAACAGAAACTCATAGACCCCGCAGGTGCCTTACCTCTGCTCTATCCCATTCCCGTTTAGTTAATTAATATAATTAGGTGTATCCAGTGCCGGCTTTGGAAGGGGGCGACCGGGGCGCTAGGTACTACAGGGCGCCGCGCTCGCCAGCTCAACTTAACCATTTAATTTGAATACATATTTTTATCGATATATAGGAAAACTAGATTCACTTAACTTTTGTAGACTTTTCTCGTAGAAGTGAGTATGAGTGTTCTATGTCTAACAAACACGACCTGTCACTTTTAAAGCTTAACTGTTATCTTTTTTGAATTAATAAATTTGTTTTTATTGTTTTTTTAGTAAATAGTGATGTTAATAAATAAATTAATGTTTGTTTTCCTTTTATATAGATATAACTGAAAGAGAAAACGCTAGCGATTTTCTTAGAAATTTGAAATTTCATTCTTACAGCTACAAAACCTAAGTTTATTAGATAAAAGTATTATTTCTTTTATTAATTAGGTATAAGAAATCGAAATCGGGTACACAGACCTCAGGCACCAAATTCGTGTTAACTTGTGTTATTTGCGTGGTAGCTAAATTAAGATAACAGGTACCTACCATTAACACGTCATTTAGTTTTGTTTAAAAATCTGTAGTCGGGGAAGTTCCTGTAGGTAGAGCGAATGAACTTAAAATAACGGGCAACACTTCTATAATGAAATCAGTATATCTAAAAGGGCGCCAAAGGCATGACTAGCCCGAGGCGCCTAGATGGCTAAGCCCGTTCCTGGGTATGTTACGTATCTACAAGGCGGTTTCGTCCATAACTGTTATTATATATTTGATAGAAAAAACGTTTCTATAAAAGTGTTCCAGAATCATACGGTACATAAACAGAAAATATTTTTCAAAATATCATACAGGGTGCGCCATTTTTCTTTGGACGCTACCTAACTTCGTTATTTAATCGGAACACGCTATATATTTTTATATTTTTGAGATAATCAACTGTTTTTGAAATGAACACGATTTCAGCTGTCTGAATAAGACCAAATAGCATCTTGAATATGCATACATTGCAAACTAAAAACCTGCGGTTTGAGCAGTTCTTTTTAGCACAAATTACCTTATCTTTTTCGCTAAGAGCAAAATGTGTACATTATTCAGATTCGGAAATATCAAAGCCTACTTATGTCAATCTCATAACATGAACACCTTTTTTTTTTCAAGCCGATATTAAATGATACCGTTGGATACAAAATTAAACAAGCTCTTTCGACTGATAAAAAATATTAATCTCTAAGTTTTTCAGAAAAAAATAGATTAGATGAAATTCGAGAAAATACATGTCAGAGCATCATGTAAGCTTTGCAATGTATAAAAGAATTTTTGTTATTAAATGTATAATAACAGAACTATGGGCGAAGGTAGGGGTAGGCACTAGATATTTACTTTTATGAACTTTTACTAATAACGCATATAAAAAATAATAGTGTGTTACATGGGTTTGTTATCTTGAAGTCTTTGTTAGAAGCTTTTAGCTGCCATAATGGTCGGGGTGGCATATACTGTATAAATACAGGATTATTTAAACACAACTTACGTAATTTATATTACCTTAGTTTTCTGAACATCAACCACTATTCTTACTTCTCGGCATTTTACACTAACTCACACTATTGTCAACTATTCAATGCTGCCAACTGCACAACATATGTACATTGTTCTTATCTATATTACTACAGATAGTATATATTTTTATCGTGTAATATGATATAAATTAAAGAGGAACCATTGTAGAGGCTACTTAACATTATTTCTCATTTTGAACGTACTTAGTTGTTATTTAAGTACCGATTTATTTAAGTACTTCAAGTTATCTAGATATAGCGATAAAAATTATGTAAATGTAATTGCAATAATTTTTTATTAATCAGTTTATCGATTTTAATTTATTAATTGTAGATAATGATCAGTTTATATCAAAACATTTTTTTGCATTCCTTTGTATAATCACTGAATAAAAAAAAACACGTGCAACTCAGTACACGTGAAAGAAGTGAAACTTCTTTGGCGAACTCTATATCTTTATAACGAATAAGTAATGATTGGTGAAACAAAGAGAACGTACGACAATATTCAGGATTTATGTTTTCCAGCATATTTTATCTTTAGTCCACCTAAGGAGTATTACTTTAATACGTTTTTAGGCTGTCGCTTCTCGAGACGAAACGGTGCGAAGTATGTCGTTTTGTGGCCTTGAGATTTTACTCTCATCGAGTCCAAAGAAGTTTCACTTCAAAAAGCAGTTAAACATTATATACAAAATAGGTACGCTAAATTTTAAAAATCAAATAAAAATAAGTTTAGCCGCTTTTTAAAATCATTCTTTATATGATTTTTTATTTTTTATTGAATTTTCAATATTTGATTAAATTTTGTTTTATTGCTACTTTTTAACAATTTTGATATACTTCAAATTTCTGTAGCGTTAATTCAATGTGTGTTAGTAAATTAATTGGCCCCAGTACATATCACCTCAAATTAAACTGGAAAAACTGGCCCCAGGGCCCGGGTTCGATTCCCGGCAAGGGAGTGACAGTAGCAACAATTTTGCCTCTTTAATTTGAGGTTATCTGTAGTGGATAAAATTAATTGACTAGCACAGTAACTCACGAAATAGATAATTAATTTATCATGTAAGAAACATGCGCAAAATTTTATTTAATGACGCTGTTAAAAGTTAGTAATAAAAGACAAATATTGAAAGTCAGGTGAAAAAAAATCACCATATCAGGAGTGAACAGTTTAAAGAAAGTGTAAAACTTTTATTTTACTTTTGACTTTTAATATTTAGCGTTTATTTTGTTGGATGCAGATTGTGCCCTGGCGAATGATACGCGCAGTTTCATACAGAAAGGTATGTCGAGTTAGATCCCGACTACCAAGAATGCAAACATCACCCTGTGTTTCCTGAAAGGCTTGCACTAGCTGCAAATGATAAAGATACAGCAACTGTTCCTTTAAAATTCGCCACATTGTAGCATGAAAGAAGCTAACTTTCCCCACTTCTTCGCGTGTACTACTTTGGGGGTAGTCTTGAAGGAAATCAAAAATCAACGCCGATATAAGATGGTGGAAGACATATTGCTAAGACTCAGGCATTGGTTTTAGTATATCCAGCGCCTCTCCTCGTAAAGAAATTATTAGTGCTGTTGCTTTTTCTGAATCAGTGTAAACGTTTGCTGTTGCTGCTGGTGCTGCTCCAAACTGCTTCAGGTAAACGGACCACGAAATCTTCCCATCGAAAGTTGGAGGATGTTTTTTTTATGGTCTTGCACCGGACTCGTCAGTTCTCGCAGTATTAGGTAGTCGTAGATTTTCAACTTCTTCTTTCATTAGTACTTCAATTAGCGCCTCCACCATTTCTGCCAATTTCGTCCCTGGCTTAATCTCCGTTTCTTCTATTTCCTTCTTTATCTCGATTCTGAAGTCATTTATCTTTTCCTCCACTCTCGTACTTATTGCTTCTTGCACATATTTTATTTCTGTTTTCAGTTCCTTTTGTCCCGTTTTAATGTTATCTTGCACTGATATTAATTCTTTTTTCATTTCTTTCTGGTCCTTATTTGTTTTTCCTTGTGCCTCTTCCATTTTCTGTTTCATTTCTTTCTGAGCTACTTTTAATTCATTTTCATTTCATCTTGTGCTGCTTTTAGTTCTTCTTGTGCCAGATTGACGTCATCTCATATTGCTTCCACTTTCTGTTTCATTCCTTCTTGCCCAATTTGTATGTTTGCCTTTAGCTTTTCTTTCATTTTTTTGTCCTGTAATCATTTCTTCTTTTCCTGCTTTCATTTCATCTTGTTCAGTTTACATATCTGCTTTCATTTATGCAGTTAGATGAAATTCTTCAATGACTTGAAATTCTCTCTTCCCTCTTCAAGAGCTTTCCAACAATACATAACTCGCTACAGGGTTTCTAACAGCCGACAGAAACTTCCAGAATATTTTAATGACGTCAAATTCTTTCTTCTCTCTTCGAGAGCTTTCAAAGATATATTACTTGGTAAGGTTTCTTGCCGTCGATGGAAATTTCTTTAAAATTTTTAATTTTTGCGACCGAGGTGCGAGAGTATTGGTAAAATTACGACCGTTTGAAGGAATTTCAGCATTATAAGTGTGACGTTATACCCGATTTCGTAACCGTTATTAACTAAATCTTTATCATTTGTTTGAATAGAAAATTAAAAAATCAGTGTTATCGTTATAACCGATGTTGTTATAAGCAAGTTCCGCTTTACTTAAAATGTAAAATACTTATACCATAATCTACATTATTGTTCAGTACGAATGCATTCACGCCCTTAACCTCTTTTTCGATCGATCTTTAAAATCTTAGCGATTTCACAAAAATACAAATTACATGATCTCACACTATCATCTAAAAGTTTACTTCTAATGCTTACCCAGAGAGATGGAAACTATTGCTGCCAAAATTAAAGTTCGAGCCATGACTACTGAATAATCAACCAGAAGTTGAACTTTTCCTTTTATAGGTATGTTCGTATCTCATTGTGTCATCTCTTTAATTTTGGAGAATTGTAGATAGTGATCAATTCGACGATAACAACAGTTATGCATTCATCTGTAAATACTTACTTAAAGATACTATCCAAATATATGATAAATTAATAAGATTTGTACACAGCGGTTTTTGATTAAAATTAAAATGCACCAAAAAAAAACTCATGGCAATTCTATTCATACGATTAAAGTAAAGGGATGCTTTGGGTAAAATTATTGAAGCTATGGTTTCCTAGTATAGCATAACAGTGCCGCAACAGTACGGTACAGATGTAAAGTAAGAATAAGTATTTGGTAGGTACCAGCGAAAGGGACGTTTTACTGCCCGGACGAGGTACCAGATTTTTACATTTGATTTATTAATTACATTTTCTGTGTTTTGCTTATTGATCATTGAATTTACTTCACAGTATTTAGTTACTTATGTAGTTTAATTTTATTTTTTGTGTTCCAAAATTTATATTTTCCAGGTTAATTACATTTTCGGAATGTTGAATCTAAATGACCGCTACAATGTTATAGGTTGTTGGTAATAAAAATTTTTTATTTCCAATTATTATTTTTTGAAGCTTCGTCATGTATGTTCTACCATCTACCGCACGGGTGCCACCTAATGTCGACGTATTTAGACATTTAGAATTTTGGTGTACGGGGATAATTCCAGTCTTCAATAAATGTTTTAAATGTACATTTAAAAAGAGGCGTTTGACGTACATAGATGTGCAGTACGTAAATGAAGAAGAAAAATGTGAAAACGCGGATAGTCGTGACGCTGAAACATTTTTAAGATGTTTGTCATAATAAAAGTATTTAATAAACTGATAAACAACCAAGCGGATTGGTAAAATTATTTAAAATGCGTATTGAAAACTCTTCAGTCTGCACATATGGTTTTTATTTTTAAAATACGATGAATAAACCTAGAATTGTAGGTATTAGTGTATTAATTTTTCCCACTAGAGTTCGATTCTCGGCAAGGGGCTGACAGCAGCGACAATTTTTGCTCATTAATTTAAGGTAATGGGTAAGATTAATTCACTAATACTTTGAATTGACCCTACAAAAGCAGTGTCTCGAACTCTTAAACCTAAAACCTCTGTGGTTCTCTCTAGGTTCAGTGATTCCTGCCATAGTGACACTATCAGCATGACTAATAAAGGTACAGTTGAAACTGACATCATTTCGTTAACAAACGTAGCGAATCATATAAAAAATTGTTGTTCATTTCTGATTATTTTAAAGTGTTATACGTTGAATTAAAGTTTAATTAATTTTGAGGATGATAAAGTAAGTAGTTACATTAACATAGATAAGTATTGCAAAAAAAACTTCCAACATCCTACCTCGTGGTTTTGAATTTTCGAGTGCTATTTTTGTGCAAAATTTCGAATAAAAAATACAGTGTTACAGAAAATATTATTCGTCAAACCTCCAAAAACAAAACACTCGAATTTTACATAAAATTTTAGCAAAAATTAAATTCTCTATTTTCTTAAATTACAAAAATATCAGTACGAAGGAATTAATGACGATCAAAGCAATTTCTAACCTTAAATTTGTTAATCTGTCTTAAACCATTACGTTAGGAAGCACTATACGTGGAAGATGTCAGGTGATTTAGGAAGATATCAGTTAGATTACATACTTTTTAGGGAAAGATTTAAAAATTAAGTGAAGGATTGTAGGAGTTATCCAGGAGCAGATATAGATAGCGATCATAAGAGGGAAGGTAGGAGACTGAGAAAAGCTCAAATGTAATGAAACGCGTGATAGGCTAGGTACAAGGACAGTCGAAATACTAAAGGCAGCAGGAGAAAGAAATGACAGGGACATAGACGCAAAATGGAAAAGTAAAAAAAAGGGTCATTTTGATAGAAAATGAGGAAAAGGCCGATAGGTGGAAAGAATATTCAGAGAACCTATACGCAGGCCATGAATTCAGAGATATATGTTAAAGAAGGAAGATAGTGTGGAGATAGATGTGCTAGGTTTTATCCCATAATGAGAGAAGAGTTCGATGTAGCATTAAAAAACTTAAAGAAAAAATTCTAAAACATGCAGAACAAGAGGTTAGAGTTCGTATGTTTAAGCTAGTTAGTTACATTTACGAGTCTGGGAAAGTTCCAGAGGATTATAAACGGAATATGGTAGTAACCATACCTAAAAAGAGAGGCGCGGATAGGTGCTAGACATTTAGAACAATTAGCTTAACTTCCCATGCGTCAAAAATTTCAACTAGAATTGTACAGAGGAGGATGGAAAAAAGGAGGAAGAACAATTAGGGGAAGATCAATTGGGGATTAAAAGAAATAGATGAACGCGGGAGGTCATTCTATCGTTACGTGTAACGATAGAGAAAACGATAGAATAAAGAAAGAGTGCGTACATAGGATTTGTAGATTTATAAAAAGCCTTTGACAATGTTACATGGGCCAAGGTGTTAATTATACTTAAAAATGTAGGGATGAGTTACAAAGATAGAAGAGTGATACATAGTTTGTATAAAGAGCAACAGGCAGTTATAGAGATATGGCTACAACGTAGAGAATTAAATATTAGGAAGGGAGTCAGACACAAATGCACACTGTCACAGCTACTTTTTAATCTATACATCGAAGGCGCGATTAACATCATTAAAGACAGTACAACTGTAGGGATATATATAAAGCAGCAACATCATTTCATACCGGCAGTGAAGTGAACCAAAATTTTATTGAATGCACTTACATTATATGTATGTAAGTTTTTATTGGTTGAAAAAAAAATGTATTATCATTTATAACCATCCTGTATATAATATGTAAAATGGCATTCGATTGGTGAGCATTTATTTGTGAAAATCATCATTCGCAGTTTATCACTTCTCTTTTTATGTTGGCTTCTAGTGGGGGCGTCTGTCATCTGTAGGGTAGTGATCACTCCTTGACTATTTCAAAGATTAATTCTTCCCTAGTAATATTATGAATTTTCTGGCAACAACGGGTACTAATGATGCGATAGCAAGCCTTATAGTACCATCGACATTCGATTTCAAGGACTATTTGGTTTCAGTGTTTGGTGTGCTTATCACTATAGCATCTTAGGCCCGCAATATTATTGAAATGTTTCATCATTGTCATAAAGTCGTCAGTCCTAAGGCTCGTTGGATACGCACCTCCACTCCTTCCTATCGTATCCGCTCGAAAGCGCTGGTAATTTCGTTTGAAAGGAGTCAAGTTCCGCTATTGTGCGCAGTTGGATGCTTTGCGCATTCCAGGTAACTATGCGGAGATAGTCTGGGTGGGCGGTGTTAGACATTGGTGGTGTGTTGTAGGGCGGCGTCAATGCTGGCGACCATGGTTTGGACAATAACTTGGGATTGTTCCAAACTTGGGATTGCAACAACATCTGGATAAGTGTTTGTGTTGCGCTTTGGGGGGGGGGAGAGTACTTCTTACTGCCTTGGCGTAGAATTTTGGGAGGGCCACCTGTTCAGAGAATTGAACGCAATGTCAGGTAAGACTCTTTTAAGAACAACGGCCTACCATCCGGAAGCGAATGGGGTAGTCGAAAGATTCCACCGGCAGCTGAAGGTTACAATCAAGTGCCAGCGTTCAGCGAAATGGTTCGAAACCCGGTCGACGGTGATGCTAGGGATACGTTCGGCATGGAAAGAGGATTTACAATCCACTGCAGCAGAGATGGTGTACGGTGAACCTCTACGACTTTCGGGCGAATTTATAGGAAAGGCGAAGCAGGAAGCCACCATAACCTTCGATTTTGTAACTACGGCAACCTGTACGACTTTTACAACCAGGCACGGCGAGAGGACACCGTTCATCTTCAAGGACTTCGCAACCGCAAGCCAGGTGTTTGTGTGGCATGACGGGCCAAAAGGACTACTTCAGCAGTCGTATGATGGTCCATTCAAGGTTGTATCAACAGCGGAAAAGACGTTCGTGGTATGTATTCACGGACAAAACTTCAAAATCTCAATAAACCGCCTAAAACCTGCGTATGTTGTTGCCGACCTGGACGATATCAATATTAACAACGAGATAACTATCGAGGTTAAACAGACTCCGAACATTCCAGAGCATCCAGCAACGTAGGAACTTCCATTTCGCGGAACCACCAGCCGTACAGTCACAGACGACGTCACCACTACAGAAAACAACGCGATCAGGACGCAGCTTTCGATTTCCTGACCGTTTACAAGTCGGGTTCTCGTGACTGTATCAGTGGCAGGGGGTACTGTTGCGGAAGAATGTACATTTGTTGTAAATATTATTTTCTAAGCATTCTCTTTCCTTCAAATTTATTTAATATTAATGTTTTGTTTTACACTTAATTGCTTTCTCTTGAACTCTATACTGCTTAATTCTACCTATATCTATAAACCAGCTTCTTCACCCTCCCTCTCACCACCTTTCCTTCAAAAACATTCTATCAAATTTACTAACAACCATGTCCTATAAATACTCCAAAAATTCTTCACACAGTCCCCCGTCTACAGCCTCTACTGCCGTTTGTAAGTGTTTCTGTTTTTATCTACTCTGTTTTATTTTTGTTACTGGTACTGTTGTATTATCTTGTTATTTTTGTAAATAAATTGTTATTTGTCTTTGTTAGTGTTTCCTTAGTATTTTTGACGTGACAACGTCTTATAATTCGATGTGGCGTTACCTCGCTCTGAGGCGTTCCATTTAAGGCTTGAAGTGCAAGCGAGAGCGCGGAACGAGCAAGAAGGAGGCACAATCGGCCTCCGCGTTCGGCAGCGTTCGACATCTGTCTCTCTCCTACTTGAGTGAGCGATGCGTCCGCGCGGACAGCTGCTATACAATAGCACATTTCCATTTACCTCCTTCTCTATATCCATACAAAATATCTATCAAACAAATAAAAATAAAATTTTCTTTTGAAAAATGAAACCATTCCATCAGTATTTTCTTATGAGGTTGTAACGTTCAACTATCAGTAAACCGACTTTACAGACAACCGATTTTTTTAATAATATTAATATGAAAAGACACTAAAGTTTTAACGCTCACAACCCGGATGAGACCATCCTTTCATGGAAAAGTGCTAACAACTCGTCCAAGTGGCCAATTTAATGGAGGGGTGTGTGTTGGTTTGATTAATATCAAACAACCTGACTGAATTTGGTAATTGGAAAGCATGGATTTCCATTTGTTGCGAGTTTACAGAGTATTAATGTATGCGTGCTTCCATTTCTGTCAGAAATGCTGCAATCTCTGCTACAGGGTTAAAGAGTTAACTGGTAAAGTTGTAATATCTAACTGAGGAACGGCAGTTAATGAGTCATCAAGGATAAGATGATCTGGGGTAAGGGCTGTGAGATCTTCCGGTTTAAGGAAAGAGGTGCCGAAAGTCGAGAGTTGAGAACTTACTCAGCTTAAACCACATCAGAGTATAGCTCTCCGTATGTTAATTTTGCATTACCTAAAATATCCTCTTAAGATGAAATTTCGCGGACATTATTGTTGCCTCATACAATCCTCCAAAATGAGGCGATCGGACAGGTGAAAAATGCCACTTGATGTTATTTTATTGAAAATAATGAACAAGGTTGGGATCTTTGGACAAATCAGATAAATTGAAGTATACTTCAGACATTTCCTTGCTAGCTCCAACATAGTTAGTGCAATTATCCGAGAAAATATCGGTGCATAATCTACTCTCGCAAATCCATTTGCTGAGTAGTAGTTATCGGCTTAGATTTATAGCACGCAACGCAACGTCTCAGCACTTTCTTTACCATTGATCTATCTTTCAATGGAGAAGATTTATGTTTTATTGCGTGCGCACCTAAGTGGGGATTAAGTTTGTGTTCATGCTCAATTAAAAGATTATCAAAGTTGGGGTTCTGAGAAGAACCGATTTAGTAATATCGTTGGACACATTATCTGCAACATTGATGATTCCAAGGGTTGACACTTTATCAGCATCCGAATAATAGTGAGCCTGGTGTTAGACTAATTTTATTCAATTCTTTACAAGCTATTTATACAAAAATTATTTACATTAGTTTAATGGCAATAGTTAGTTCAGCAGTTTACATATGTGTGTGTAAATGTCTATGACCTAGTTAGCCGCACTGTACCGCGATTTTACTAAGTCGGCAGAAATGATGAACTTTAATTATTACACATTTGAATTGTTTACTGCTATACCGAGTGTTCCCACACACCAAATTGACATTGTGAATGCCTATCTAAATGCCATACTTGATGAAGGTGTTATAATGGAGATGTCTGAAATTATCTACAATGATAACATAAGACCAGTAGATTATTGAAAACTATAAAAGCCGGTGATGATGCTTGTAAACTTAGAAAGGCATTATATGGACTTCGTCAAGGTGGAAGACAGTGGAACGAAAAAATTGATGAAAGGTTGAAGAATCTAGGTTTAACTCCAACCGTTGGTGAGCCCTGTCTATACCATGCTCATCGTAACAATGATGCTCTGTTCCTGTTATTATATGTTGATGACATCCTTGTTGCATCTAGAAATGGAAACTGGATAGAAGAAGTTAAAACAGGGCTTGCAGCCAAGTTTGAAATTAAATATCTAGGATCAGCAAAGTTTTGTTTAGGACTAGAAATAAACCAATCTAAAGATAAGGCAACTTTAAACCAAAAAAGTTATATCCTAGATATCATGAAACGGATCGGAATGAGTAAATGTAATTCCGTCTCAACACCGTCAGAAATGAAATTTTATGAAACAACAAATAAAGGTGAAAATTCATCTGAGAAATTTCCATATTGTGAACTAATTGGTGCTCTGATGTACCTATCGGTGTCTACAAGACCAGATATGTCCACTACGATTACAAGATCGGCACCGTTCAGAAGTTGCCCTATGAGGTGACATATTGTCAAGGCAAAAAGAGTTTTAAGATACCTTGCTGGAACCAAATATCTAGAATGTGTTTATATCCAGTCGAATGAAGCTGTCGTCGGATATTCTGATGCTGATTGGGGAAGTGACCTTACAGATCGCTTCTCCTTCACGGGTTAGTCTTCAACTTAAGTACAGGCCTGACGCTGGAAGCTGGCGTAAATTTTAAAATGGCGTGGATGCCCGGTGGCAAAAGTAGGCAGTTTTAGGTATAAAGATTGCAGCCCTCATTCTTCAGCATTCCTACCAAGGGCGTACATTAAATATTTAAAAACAGGGATCAGTGAGCAAGTAATAGACAGACAAACAGAAGAACTAATTGTTGATGTTGGCGACAGTGATAGAGATTCCCATGATGAGAATTAATGTGAAAACTAACTATAAAACAAAAGCAATAGGTTAATTTTTTCTTTTTGATAAGTCATGTTTTTACATTATTTTCTAGTACCTTACTGTCCTATCTGTATTAATACTATAATTTACGCCTACTGAAAGCTTATTTGTACATCGGTTCCAAGTGACTTACCCAAATGGGTCATAAATGGGCAAGTACCTGCGCGACCGCTCGCCAGCTTCCTTCGTCAGACATGTAACGCAGCTATATCCTGTAGATAACAGAAGCAGCAAACTGTCACTTTATCAACAGAGGCTGAGTACATTAGACTATTTGAAGCTCTCAAAGAAGCTATACATCTGAGAAGCTTATTGATAGAGATTGGTCAGAAGAAACTCAGTAAGATAACAGTTTTCACTGACAAAAGAGGTGCTGAATGCATAGCCATAGGTGAATGTGCAGCACATACCCACAGAGGAAATGGTGGCTAATATTTTAACGAAGCCCTTGGCTCCTGTAAATCATGAAAATTTGATTCATAAACTAGGACTGAGAAGAATGACAGACTCTAGTGACGTACGATTTGAGAGGGGAGTGTTAGATTCAAATCACGCTAATTGCATCGATTAATTATTTTTGTTGATATTATAGATCACAGTGTGTGTAATCTTTATAAATAAATAGTTTGTCTTGCCAATTATAAATCAAATAAATTCACTCATGTTTAGTTTAAATATTTCTTATTAGTAAAAAAATCCTTCCTCTGAAAATAATATCTTAACAACAAGTATCTTCTTTTAGAGCGATGCAGTATCTCTTATGTACTGACGAATGGCTGTGACGTTAGTGTAGACTCCGGGACTTTCTTCACGCCCACATCCACGACCCCACGATATGATACCGATGAGGGTGTTATTGACAACCAAGGGTCCTCCAGAATCACCCTAAAATTTAAGACATTTAAAAATAAAATTTGTTCTTCACTCTCGATCAAATCAAGATCATGTCTAGAACGGATGTCTCTTAACAATACGTAAAATCTTAATACTATTTAGTGTGCGTGTTACAAAAAAAATCTAATACTTAGCATGTCTCTTATATGAAATTTAAGTGTTTGCATAAATGAAAATAATGAAAGGTATGTTAAAATGAGATGATAGATTTACTAATAATAAAATTGATTAGCTAAAATTAATTATTGGTGAAGAAAAAATTAATTAGGTGGCATCACTGGATTAGAACAATACGAGCACGAGTCCCGACTATAAACTGAACGGAGTAGGAGCAATTGTCTTTTTCAATCCCTAATTCAAATAATACCCAAAAATATTAACATATATCGATGATGAAGAGATTCTGGGCTTTTCTGCCGTGGTCGAACTCTGATTGCAGACGTTTCGCAATGCTTAATCGATGGCATCTTCAGTGCTTCACGATGTATGAATAGCGGCTGAATGGTTAATGTGGGATTTTAGGAACTCGGTCAGGGTTGACTCGTACTGCATTATCGTCATACTTCGTTCCGGTATTTTGGGCCCTCACAGTAGTCTGACGTACGTACTGACACTTGCGTACCTTCGAAGGAGATCCTGTGTTCTTTCTTCCAGGGATGCTATGATAAAAATGATTTGTCTGGTTTCTTTATTGCGATAGTTCCTTTCGTCATGCTTACGCATACCTTGGAACAACCTCCGCAAGGAATCAAGTAAACTCCTGGTGAATGTAGTGGGTTTAATTGGTCTTCGGGGTTTTGTATCTTCGTCGTAGGCGTGAACATCGTCCTAATTCCATTCCAACGTAGAAACTTAAAAATCCGATCCGTTACTTTGTGAATATATGACAGAGTTGTCGTGATTATGGTTGACTTCTCTTTGTTGTTTACCGTTCTTGGATTTCGGCGTAGTCGTGTTGTTCGTTCGATGTTCAGTACAGTTCGTAAATATTCAAGTTATTCTCGGCGGTGTTTACCATCAGCTAACGTAGAAGAACGATAGATTAACGTTTAGATCACGGTGCGCTTCTGTGCGGAATGGTAGTTGGTAGTATTCTGTAGGTATCGGTCCGTGTGCAAAAATACTAAAAATACTTTTGGGTGTTTCATTCCCACCAGCCAGTGATGCTCTTCAGCCTGCTTTCAGGAATCGTGGGAATGGGTGGGTGGTGGTTCGGGTGAGAAAGATGAGACGGACGAAATGAAGACAGAAGAGAATGAAAGATTATCTGTGGAATATTACTGTCTCAGCATTTGCCTAAGTGATCCAAGGAAACCACAGAAAAACTTGGACCAAGGCAGACGGACCCGGAATCGAACCGGCGTCCTCCCGAATGCTAAGCAATGGTCTAGACCTCTAGGCCATGCCGCTCGGTCCGTGTGCGCCCGTTTTCTGTAGATACCCCTACTTAAAGTTCTAGAACCCCTTCTTTAACCAAACTATCCAAGAAAGGTAAGGTGTAACCTTCCTTCTCTTCCATTGTGAAGTTGACGTTGTTGTTGTGCCCGTTTAGGTGATCTAAGAATTGTTGTAGATGTTCCTTTCCATATTGCCAAATAACGAACGTGTCATCCACGTATGTAGGTGAGCCACAGCTTGGGTTTCTTGGGAGCTTTGCGTGAGCTTCCTTTTCAAAATTTTCTATAAAGAAGTTCGCTAGGACTGGACTGATTGGATTGCCCATTACTACACCATCTTCCTGCACGTACAATTGTCCACTCCAAAGAAAATAACTTGAAGTTGAGCAATGATTAGATTAGAAAAGGAAACTCGTGATTCATGCACATACTACTCTAATTCTGTATGCGTTTTACTGTTGACACCACTTAATTACTTTTTCTCGAAAAAAAAATATCTTATGAAACACATTAAGAAGCTTTCTGATAGCGATTAACATTTAATAAAATTGATATATTAATGTGAAATTAATTCAATTTCTAACCACTACAAATTACCTCAACTGTTACCTCTCGTAGCTTAGTGGTCAGAACAGTGGTGAGCAAGAGCACCAAGAAAGAGTAATAAAGGCAATGAAGTGATGAGTGGTAGCGACCCTCCTAAGGCATCGAATATGACTGGGACGCTTTATAGAAAAAACACCGGAAATGAGAAGGCACTATCGAAACGCCAATTAGCGACTGAGGATACGACAATGAAGAGAAGAAGTACCACAGGAGAGAAATCAAAACATTCCACAGATCCACTAGAAAGGGACCACTCATACTATATAAATATTACCAAAAAGAGGTTAGAAAACGAAGAAGAAGAAGAACAAACAACTAACACTAAGAAAAAAATCACATTGCAGTAGAAACAAGCTGATCGTATATTCCATTGCAAGACGAAGAAACGTTTTCAACAGGAGAACATGGAAGTAAGAAAATGTGCCACCTATAGTTATTAGTAAAAGTGAAAAACTACGCAGAGCTGATAAAACACATTAAAACAAAAGATATAAAAAAGGATTCCACTTAAACTACAGCAACGAATCTATTAGTGTTTTCATCCTCGATAAAGCAGAAAGGAGAATTCTAAAGTATAACAAAACAAGAAGGGATTCCATTCTACATGTATTCCGCAAAAGAAGAAAAAACGACGGACGCATTTATGCCTAAATGACTTGATTCACGCCGGAATGTGATTTGGTTCTAAGTCAATTAAGAAACGAGTACAAAATCAACGCAATCAACTGCTAAAGTTCCTAAAACAGAAATAGGAACAATAAGAACAAAATCATCCGGTGTCATCGCTACCAATGTTGGGGACATGCAACAAGCAATTGTGCCAAAGAACACTTCACTAAGGAGTATAATCTAAGTGATAGTGTCAAAGTGAAGTCCGTAAACTGCAATAATGAACACGCGACCAACAGCATTCAGTGCCTTATATACCACCCATCGAAGAACACAAGCAGAAACTTAAGCAGGTGAATACAAATTAAACGCGATCAGCAGAATCACCCCAGAAAAATGCAATAACTCTGTCCATACTGAAAAGACCAACGTCATCGGAAATCAAAAAGATATCAACATACAGCCATATACTAAAAAAGATCGCGTAACTGCTACAACTAGAAGATACAGAACTAACAGATCATTTACAATTAGCAAATGAACATAATAAATTAAATAGAATGATCAATATTAAAGAAACACTTAAAATTATTAAGGAAATAAACAATAAAATGTCACTGACAGAAAGTGAACCAGAAAAAAACACAAACATTTATATAGTATTCTTAAAATCGCATCATGGAACGCTAACGGTTTAAATGCAAAATGAAACAAAACCTAGCAAAGACCATATTGTCAAAAACAAAGGGTATAAAATAAAAAGACGCGATTGGTACTCGAAACGCGGGCGGAGTCTTAGCTTTTATCAAAAACAACATCCCCGTTGTAGATGTACTCATTAGGAGAAATAGCATAGAAACGATATGGCTTAAATTGGCTAAGAACGTACATATCGCAGGAACATATTTCGATATAATATGAGGTGCTCTGATAGCAGAGCCATGTTACTTACGGAACAGGAATCCTTGCCACCTTCGTCGTAACCAGCACACAGCATTCTTTCGGTAAGGTACTCTTCGGTAAGGTTAAGCATACTTCTGCATCTGTCTTGTGCGATAACTGGAACAGAAACTGCTTGAAGTACATCGTTATAACTGTCATTAACATTTTCTGACTGCAATCCCCATCCTAGAAGCGTGGCGTTGGTTCCTGGTGCTATTTGTTGATTTGCATCAATTAATTGGACACTCCTAATTATATCGCTGAAGGTCAAATTTTGTAACAATTTTATCAAACCGACATCATAGTCGGGACCTCCGTTAGTCGTGTTAGGAGGCTCTGAGTATTGAGGATGGATGAAGAGTTCTTCAGCTTGTACCAGAACACCATCAACGCCTGCACGTTCAGCACCAGCAAGAACCGTTACATTTATTACATTTGCGCTTTAAAAGAAGAGCAGATAATTAATTACGAAGGTAAACTAATAAACAATAAAATTAAAGTTAAAACACTTGTAAACTATTTTATTGTCAACTGAACATACGTTTCTCCACAGTGGCTTCTTCAGATGTTTTAAATTTACATGGTTAATGTATTAGGATATTAGGATATTTCAATCAAGTCTAAGAATTTCCATAAAATAAAAGAAGATTTATTGAATAATAATNGGAATTTCGATTGCCCAATTATACTATTTAAAAGGTCAAAATATAATCCTAAAAGGTCAGTCGGTTTCATTAATTGATCAGCGATAGAGAAAAATTTAAGCATTAAACTTTTTCAAGGTCAATTAAGAATTTCAGCACCCCATATCTCACAAAAACAATAAATAATAACATCAGATAATGTTCTACTTATAATTGGTGAGCCGAAATAAATTATTGGTTAGATTAATTTTATTTAAAAGAAATTAAGTTGCGTAGACAGTTGTGCGCATGTGCTGGAACCCTTAACAGTATCAGGATAGTAAGTTTAAGGGTTGCGAGTAAAATTAAGGTAATTAAAAAAATATATTTTTCGTGTTTTAGTAGTGTTTAGTGTAACTTTTATCATGGATTGTGAAGCCGGGCGTATGTATACATGTATTTAAAATGAATTAACTAATTTTTTTAGTTTTTTTCACAAACTTATTAAGGTGTTCATACATTGATATTCTATTACAATGTTAATGATTCATTCATATCACCTATCTCCTTCGTTCATACATGATATGAACATACGAGGTAATTAGTATGACCTTTTTAAGATCCGTACATTAGCGCTATGTACATAAGTCACAAAATAAATAAAACCGATTCATAAATAAAACAAACATCATTTTATACCAGCAGTGAAGTGTGTGAAGTAAACCAAAATTTTATTGAATACAATTTCATTATATCTATGTAAGTTTTTATTGGTTGAAAAATAATGTATTATTATTTATAATCATCCTGTATATAATATGTGAAATGGCATTCAATTGGTTTATTCTTATTATTTTTCATTTATTTGCGAAACTCATCTTTCTTCTTTTTACGTTGACTTCTAGTGGGCGTCTGTCATCTGTATGATACTGACCACTAGTTGGTCACTTCAAAGATTAATTGTTCCCTAGTAAGTGATGTTAATAAATTAATTAATGTTTGTTTTCCTTTTATATATAACTGAAAAAAAAAGCGATAGCGATTTTCTTAAAAATTTGAAACATTCTAATAGCTACAAATACAAACTTTATTAAATAAAAATATTGTTTCTTTTATTAAGTAAGTATAAGAAATCAAAATCGGGTACACAGAACTCAGACACTAAATTCGTGTTGACTTGTGCTTTTTGCGTGGTAGCTAACAGGTACCATTAACACGCCCATTTAGTTTTGTTTAAAAATTTGTAGTCTGGGAAGTCCCTGCAGTTAGAGCGAATGAGCTTAAAATAACGGGCAACACTTCTGTAATGAAATAAGTATGCCTAGATGGCTGAGGCCGGTCCTGGGTATATTACGTATCTACAAGGCGGTTTCGTCCATAACTCTGTTATTAAACATTTGATAGAAAAACCGTTACCATATACAGAAAATATTTTCAATCATACAGGGTGCACCATTTCTTTTGGACGCTGCCTAACTTCGTTATTTAATTGGCCTAAGTATATTTATATTTTTGGTTTCCTTGTTAAATTATAGATCGACTTCGTCAGCAGCTCCTTATAACTATCTCTAGTAGTTTTTGAAATAATTAACTGTTTTTGAAAAGAACACGATTTCTCTATGCTTAATTGAAAACTAAAAAGTTGCGGTTTGGACACTTCATTTTAGCATAAATTACCGTATCTTTTTCGCTATGAGCAAAATGTGTACGTTATTCAGATCCAGAAATATCAAAACCTACTTATGTCAATCTTATACAACGAACACCTTTTTTTCAAGCCAATATTAAATGATACCGTTTGATACAAAATTAAACAAGCTCTTTCGACTGATAAAAAATATTAATCTCTAATAGTTTTTCAGAAAAAAATAGATTAGGTGAAGTTCGAAAAAATACATGTCAGAGCATCACGTAGGCTTTGCAATGTATAAAAGAATTTTTGTTATTACTATGGACGAAGATAGGGGTAGGCACTGGATATTTACTTTTATGGACTTTTACTAATAACGTATGTAGAAAATAATAGTGCGTTATATGTGTTTGTTATCTTGAAGTCTTTGTTAGTAGCCTTTAGCTACCGTAATGGTCGGGGTGGCATATATACTGTTTATTTACAAGATTATTTACACACAACTTATGTAATTAATATTAACTTAGTTTTCTGAACATCAACCACTATTCACTTCTTGGCATTTTACACCAACTCACACTGTTGTCAACTACTCAATGCTTGTAACTGCACAACATACATTGATCTTATCTATATTACTACAGGTAGTATATATTTTTATCGTGCAATGCGATATAAATTAAGAGGAACCATTGTAGAGGCTACTTAACATTATTTCTCATTTTGAACGTACTTAGTTGTTATTTAAGTACCGATTTATTTAAGTACTTCAAGTTATCTAAATATGGTGATAAAAATTAAGTAAATTTAATTGCAATAATTTTTTATTAATCAATTTATGGATTTTAATTTATTAAATTTAGATAATCATCAGTTTATATCAAAACATTTTTTTGCATTCCTTTGTATAATCATTGAATAAAAAACAACACACGCAACTCAGTACACTTCTTTGGCGATCTCTATACCATTATAACGAATAAGTAATGATTGGTGAAACAAAGAGAAAGTACGAGAATTTTCAGGATTTATGTTTTCCAACATAGTCCACCTAAGGAGTAAGTATTACTTTAATACGTTTTTATGTAATTCAATAACAAAAAAATGGTCAAATTTTTTTCGGTTCCGTTTTTTTTCCAAGTNGTTTATTTTTCCAAGTGCTTAAGAAACCGTAAACTATCAATAACTACAAGGAATTAGAAATAATACATAATAAATAATTCTCACTCTTAAACAAATATTAATTGTTGTTATAAATAAATAATAATTTAGCACAGTATAGTGAATTTACATTATACTATAATATATGAGATGCCGGTCACTAACGGCTTACTGTAATACCGATATGCGCGTCTTTCTATTCTCATAGCCTATCGCTTCGCGAGACGAAACGTTACAAAATGTGTCGTTTCATGGCCTTGAGATTTTACTCTCATCGAATCCAAAGAAGTTTCACTTCAAAAAGCAATTAAACATTATAAGCAAAATAGGCAATTTTAAAAATCAAATAAAAATAAGTTTCGCCACTTTTTAAAATCATTCAATCTGGATATGATTTTTTATTTTTTATTGAATTTTCAATATTTGCTTAAATTTTATTTCATTGCTATTTTTTAACAGTTTTGATTTACTTCGAATTTCTTTAGCGTTAATTCAATGTGTTAGTGAATTAATTTTTGAATTAATTGTACCCCAGTACATATAACCTCAAATTAAAGTCGAAACATTGGCTCCAGAGTCCGGGTTCGATTCCCGGCAAAGAATTTGAGGTCATCTTTAGTGGGTAAAATTTATTCACTAGCACAGTAACTCTGGAAATGGGTAATTAATTTGTCATGTAAGAAACGTGCGCAAAATTTTATTTAATAACGCTGTTAAAAGTTAGTAATTAAAGACAAATATTGAAAATCAGGTGAAAAAAATCACCATATCACGAGTGAATAATTTAAAAAAAGTGTAAAACTTTTATTTTACTTTTGACTTTTTTTTGGATGCAGATTGTGCTCTAGCGAATGATACGCGCAGTTTCATTCAGATGGTATGTTGAGTTAGATCCCGACTATCAAGGATGCAAACATCACCATATGTTTCCTGAAAGGCTTGCACTAGCTGCAAATGATAAAGATACAGCAACTGTTACTTTAAAATTCACCACATTGTAGCATGAAAGAAGCTAACTTTCCCCACTTCTTGGCGTGCACTACTTTGGAGGTAGTCTTGTAGGAAATCATAAATCAGCGACGATATAAGATGGTGGAAAACATACTGTTGAGACTCGGACATTCCTTGGAGTATATTCAGCGCCTCTCCTCTTATTATTAGTGCTGTTGCTTTTTCTGAATCAATCCAAGCGTTTGCTGCTGCTGCTTCCGCTGCTCCAAACTGCTTCAGGTAAACGGACCACAAAATCTTCCCAAAGTATTAGGTAGTCATAGCTTTTTAACTTCTTCTTTCATTACTTCAATTCGCGCCTCCACCATTTCTTCCAATTTCGTCCCTAGCTTAACCTCACTTTCTTCAATTTCCTTCTCCATCTCGATTCTGAAATCATTTATCTTTTCCTGCATTTTCGTACTTATTGCTCCTTGCACGTTCTTTATTTCTGCGTCAGTTCTTTTTGTACCATTTTCAAATCATCTTGCACTGATATTAATTCTTTCTTCATTTCTTTCTGGCCTTTATTAGTTTTTTCTTATGCTCTTTCATTTTCTGTTTCATTTTTTCTAAGCTACTTTTAATTCATTTTCATTTCTTCTTGTGTTGCTTTTAGTTCTTCTTGTGCCAGTTTCACGTCATCTCGTACTGCTTCCATTTTCTGTTTTATTCCTTCTTACCCAATTTGTATGTTTGCCTTTAGTTTTCCTTTCGATTTCTTTGTCCTGCAATAATTTCTTCTTACATGTCTGCTTTCATTTCTGCAGTTAGATGAAATTCTTTAATAACTTGAAATTCTCTCTTTCCTGTTCAAGAGCTTTCCAACGATACATAACTCGCCATAGGATTTCTAACAGCCGACAGAAACTTCCAGAATATTTTAATGACGTCAAATTCTTTCTTCTCTCGTCGAGAGCTTTCAAAGATATATCACTTGCTAAGGTTTCTTGCAGCCGATGGAAATTTCCAGAAAATTTTCCGATGAACGCTCTAGAGTGTCCGATCATATTTCCGACCGAGGTGCGAAAGAGCC